TGAAGATAATTGGATATTTTGGGTGTATTTTTTCTTGTGGTAAAACACACATAAAATGTACTATTTTAACCATTTTAAGGGTACATTTGAGAAACATCAAATGCATTCCCATTGTTTTGCAATCTCCAGGACCCCTCTCATCTTCCCAAAGTGAACCTGCACTAGTTCAGCACTAACTCCCCCCTCCCCTTCCTCATCTCCCGGTGGGTGATCAGTGTCCTCCTCCTCATAGTAGAATCACGCAAAATTTTGTTCTTTTGTGCCTGGCTTATTTCAATTCAGTGAGTTTTTGATATTTCTAACAAGTTCCATTCAGAAATTGTAATATTGAAAATCTTATTGAACAAAGTCCTGAGTCTGAAATTCTCCATCCAAAAGTGTTCGTTTTTCTTACCCTAAGCAACTAACATGGTGTGTCTGTCATATTTGAGGAAGAGCTCCATATTCAGGATTTTTGGGGGGTGGGGGTTTACTGTTGAATATTCCTACTGTAAGAACTTTCCCTGTATGTAAGACTTTAAATTTTCATTAAAATTTCACTTTTTTGTTGTTACTGTTGCTCTTCTGCTTTGGGGGAGAGCGTTATCTGTGTTATGGGATTCCAGGCTCTCAGCCTGGCCCCAAGCAGGGAGGGCCTCCTTGAACACTGGAGTTTTCTTTGGTGATGTGTGAGTTGTCCTCTGAAAGCACAGGTATAATCCCAGCGTCCTAACCTGCTTTCTCTACTGCCCAGCTCTGAGCTCCCACCCCCAGCAGCAATGTGGGGTCCTCTCCTGGGGATCTTAATTACAGTGCCTGCCAAGGGGAGAAGGACCCCTCTCTCCCAGGAGAGAGAAACAGACCCATTTTAGTGAACAGAAATCACGTGATCTTTAAATATCAGCGTTAGTATTGGAATACTGATTCCCATTTCCTATCCAAGCAATTTCCCATGCATAGTCTAGGCAGCTTTACAATTGCTCCTGAATTTCTTAAGATGGCTTGTTCCACTGTGAGGGCTGCACCACACTGCTTGGTGGACTTGGAAAGGCAGAGGTGGAGACAATGCGCTGGAGTTGGCTCGTGGCCTTTTGTTTGCATGTCTGTGTTCCGCTGTGATATTGGGAAGTCATACATAATAGCAGCTCATTACCCCTGAGAACAAGCAGAGCACCTACGTTTTGGACCTGCCATCATTCAATCATTCAGTAAAAGATGTGGTTGATGTGTGTCATGATGACAGAGGGCCGTGACCGGAGCCACGTGTGGCCGATTCCTGGGTCTGCCATGTGCTTTGCAAGCTGCAAAGCTTTTCCTCCAAAGCAGCTAATCCTGTCTCACCACCCCCTGCATTTGGTTGTCAGAAGCCACATGCTGCTTTCTTAAGAACTAATTGAAGAGAGAGCCTGTCTGTATTGTGTTCCTGAACAGCCTGTGTCATGAAATTGTATTTTTCTTCTAAGTAAAATTGAAAGAAAGAAAGAAAGAAAACAAAAAAAAAGAGAGGGAGTGAGAGAAAGAAAAAGAGAGGAGGAAAAAAAGGTTGCCATCCAGTGGAGGAAGGCGTAATTTCCAGCTTCATTCAGGAAAAAACGCAGGCTGAAATATGCTTAACTCTTTTAACTTGGCTGGGGATTTTTATCACCAAATGAGGTTTTTTCTTGACATCCAGAGCTAGCGGGGTGCCCTGTCCCTTTAAGGAAAGAGGTGCCTGACCAAACTTCACTGTAGTTGTGTGTCACCGGCTAGGTAGGGAAGGAAAGTGTTAATTTCTTATTTGTACACTTTTTTTCCCCCGACTTCCTTCCTATTCACTTCATTAAATCTAGAGGCAGTTCAGCATGGGAGCCGTCTGTATGTTGAATTAGGGCTCGCACTCTTGCGCAACACGTCACCAGTCGGAAACTGGGGGTTTGCTTCTGTGATTTATTTCATTATTGTGCTGGTAAAAGGTTTGGAAGGGAATTCTTTTTGGGGGTAGTACTTTTAGTATTGTGTAGCAAGTTTTTTTTGTTTTGTTTTTGTTTTGGGTTTTTTTTGTGTGCCCCCCGCTTCCCCCACCCCCGCGCTGAGTTGAGTCAGTTGAGCTAGTTTGATAATTTTTTAAAATCAAAGAACAGTCTAAAATCTCCACGAATAATTTTCTTAACATGTTGGAGAAATCTTACTGTACCCTTTAAGTACGAAAAGCATTGGGAAATGTGTAGTGCATTGATTTCTATTAGAAAAAGACCCTTAGAAATCACAGAACCTAAAAGCACTGCATATGGATGTGTTTGGGGTCTTTGGGAAGGGAGGGAAGATGTTTTGTAGCTCTCTGCATTCCTGCATAAAACCTTTAATTTAGGGGGAATAATGGTCAGTACTTTTGGTGTTTCCTTGTAATTCCAGAACCTAAATTTAGTAAGAATCTGCACGAATTAGCAATTGTAATAAAAATTGTTTCACTAGTTCTGTTTGCAGTTTATTTTTGTTTCTTAGCTGCTCACAGATTTAGAGATTTAAAAGTCCAAATATCACAAGTTTATGTTTTGTCCTCCCCCCTCTTTTTTTCCAGAGCTCAAGGGGGTTAGAGTAGAGATATTCACAACTTACCCCTCTTCATTTATTCCACTGGAAAGAAAAACAATGAAAAATTTACAGCTTGAAACTGAAAGTGAAGTGTCACAGTTGTTCGAGATTTTTTGTTAAGAATAACAACATAGTGTGTTAAAATATTTGAACCTGAGAAAATGCACATTGTTTTTACTTACATGCATCTAATGGGGAAAAAATTATCTTCTATTTTAAAATTCATTTTAGGGTGCTCCAAAATCATGCAGCATATTTTTAAAAAGCACTAAAATGAGGTAGAACATTTAAAAAGAAACATACCTGTTTTAATTTTTAAAAATAAATTTGAATATTAATTTGTTTTCTTATTGGCTTAGTTGTTAAAAATGCAAGCAAGACTCAGAAACCACCTGAGCTAAAATCTCTCATTCTGCTGCCTGGAATAATAGGGGGAAAATATGATAAGTAGTTGTCAATATTAAAACAGGCTGAAGGAGGGAGGCTTTGGGCCTTGTAGTAGGTAGAATGAAACAGCAGATTTGAGTATCCACAATCCTTTCAGTAGTAAATTTTCAGTAAAATAAAATTACTTGTATATGAAAACATAGCCTTTCCCAGCTCTCTTTTTTTTCCTGATCAGCTGATGAAGAGACTAGCAGCTCGCTGCTTTGCTGGCTTGTTAATTTTATCCCCACTAACTGTGATTTCCGATAGCCGGCCTGCTGATAGTGGTAAGGTAAATATCCTTTTTCGTTGCCGTCTTGAAGAGTCAGTAGAACTACATCCCAGGCATGTGTAGGTGTGTAACACATCAAAAGCCGGTGTTCTCCGTATTTCTGTGTGCAACTGGGTGCTTGAGGAGAACAGTACCATTAACTGTTGACAGCCTTGCATGCTGTATTTATTATTAGCATGTTCAGCCTCCAAGATATGCAGGACAATTTCCTTTTCTTAATCTTCGCTTAGCTGCAGTGTGTTTAGCTGTATAGTGGGTGTCCTGCTTTTAGGCAAATGAATATTAACGCAATAATGTGAAGCTTTTTTTTTTTTTCTTTTTCCTCATAACTCATCAGATATCGCCTCCTTCATAGTGGTTTGCTGAACACTGTAGGATCGTGATGGAAATTGTCTTTTGATGATTAAGGCCTAGGCACAGGCTGTCCCTTAGGGTGCTGTCTGTGTGCATGTTGCTTCTATGGATTTGCACATTGGAGATGCATAAGAAACATTTTTTTTAAATCCCACTGGCATTTTTACCATGCCGGGTTGTTTTGTGTTCTGTACCAGGTTTTTTTTTCACAAAACCTTTCTTTTTCAGGAGGCATTGTACATAAGTGAAAGAAATTATGTCTGAGCTGTAATCACTCTTTATATTGATTGTTATACTCACATGATCATAAATATTAGCCATGTTTGGTGCTGTGGAGAAATGAAGGTAATTGCCTTATGATTAGAGCTCTTTCAGCTACGAGAAAGGATTGATTAGCATTTGCATACTGGAGGCAATATTGAGAGGCAGGAGGAACAAATAACAACATCAGTTATTTTGTGTGAGAAAGCAATTTAAAAATGTAATTTAAAGATTCTTTTTAAGAAAATTTCTTTTCAGTGGTCACATTTTCTTTTATCTGTGCTTTTTTGTTTTTTTGTCTGCATTTTTCCCCTTTTATTTTTCTTCTTAAGTTTTGAGACTTAGCAGGGGAAAAAAAGTTTAAACTTGTGGGTCTGTCACATGGATCTTTTAGTCCTTTACGAACAGGTTTCTTTTATACCTGGTTGTTTTTATAGCTATTTTATTATCTCTCTGCATTAGTGCTGCTGGCTGTGGTTTAAAGCAAGCGTTTGCAGGTAATTGGAAAAAGTGTTTGTTGTTTGTGAGTGTGTGTGTTCTTTATCGGATAATTTAAGTGCATTTATCAAGGAATGTGGCTTTGTACTTGCCGGCTTCCTTGTTTATTAATTGCTACCTTAGAATAAAATCTGGATGGGATTTTGATTTGTGTTGTGATTCATGAATAAATTGATGTTAAACCTTAAAGAAGAAAAGGTCAAAGCTTGTCTGATTGTTTGGACTTATTCTTAGGGGAATTTTTTTTTCTTTACCCCTATTTCATTTTTTATTTACCTTTTCCCTCCTTACAGTCATGAAAGAATTAGGGTTTTTATTATATGGAGCAAAAATTTCATTTAAATTCAGTTATCTTCAAGCACTTGAATGTATAGATGTTTTAATATTCATCATCCTTCACCATGGGTGTCTTAGGCCTTCACCATATTTTGCCTATGAAACAGATGTGTGTTAAAGATGCTTTTTTCCAATATGGTGGTGTTTCTTTTTCTTCTTCCTTGATTATTATTAACTTTTATTTTTACTTTTTCGTTAGATTTTATTCTAATTATTCAGGCTATACGTATTTGTCTCGGTGATTTTCCTGCCTCCAATTTTTCCCTTTGTTCTCCACTAACAGGCCATTGAAGACGGCAATTTGGAAGAAATGGAAGAGGAAGTACGGCTTAAGAAGAGAAAAAGACGAAGAAATGTGGATAAAGATCCTGCGAAGGAAGATGTAGAAAAAGCTAAGAAGAGGAGAGGCCGCCCTCCAGCTGAGAAACTGTCACCAAATCCCCCCAAACTGACAAAACAGATGAACGCCATCATCGATACTGTGATCAACTACAAGGATAGGTGAGTGTCACGCCCCTTCACCATCCTTCCTGTTCACTGTTCACCCAAGACCGTGGGTGCCGCCACCTGAAGGGCCACATTTATTAAGCTGTACCCTTGGCCTTTAAGGTTCTTTTTTGTGTTTTATGGATTTCTCTCCAAAGGTGTCAGTTGCCTGTACTATGTCAAATGGTCACTATTGCTATTTCATATGATGGCTCACTGTGTAATTATTTAAGATAGTTGGAAATGAGTTTGACAGTTTTTTTAAAAAAAAAAAACAACTCTAAACTGGGAAAGGACCCTGCAGGACCTCTACGATACTATCATTGATGTGAAAAGGGGTTAAGATGGTAGAATGAAATTGTTTGCTGAGTTTGAGTTATTAGAGAAAGAAGGCTCCTCGTGGATTTAAAGTAAATATTTCATGTTAAGGTTTTCTTTAAAACCAAATATGATTCCGCGGAAATACAGAGTTCCTTCTCTCCTTCTGACTCATGGGCTTCTGAGCACTTGTTTGAGCTGTCTCCCTAATTCTGCATAGTCAAGTGATATTTCAGTAAATTCACCTCTTTCTCATGGAACTTTGGGATGTGAACGGTGAAAGGGCTGTGTTGGACGTTTCTCAGACCATCTTAAACAATGAACACTTATCTGAAAACCAAAACAAATGCATTTTGGAGTGTCAGCCAGTCCTCTACAGAAGATGAATGAGTTAGGCTACATTCTGGTTAACTGATTTGGTTTGGAATTGGTAGTCATGTGAGAATGTTTTTATTTGAAAATATAGGAAACCAAACACATTTTAGTTCTCTAAATTTCACAGTAGTATTCAGTTTTTAGTTACTAGTATTTTTTGACATAATAGTACTGCTTTGTGACCTCGATATATTCAACACAAATAAATTGTGATTTTAATTTTTCATGTGGCTTTGGTGCATGTATTATACGGGGCACGGGGGGAGAACTTGTTATTGAGGTTTGGTAGCAGAGAAAGCAAAGAACTTTCCACCAGGAACTTTCATTAAGCTTCTCTTATCTCGAAGGAGCTTTCAGAAAGGTTAAAGGGCCTGGGGGATGGGTGACACTTGTGAAAGGGCAGAATTTCTAACCCCTCTTTACCCACCAGGTTCCTTAAGTTCCATGTTTACTATTTTTAGCATTTTCCTTTCCTTTTTTGTTTTTTTCTAAGTGCATTCTCTTTCAGGATTCTGAAGTGGCCACCAAGGACAGCCCCTTTATAGTGAGTTCAGATCCCTTGTACATTGACAAGGAGGGAGGATGACAGCCAGGAGGGAAAGCTTGATCATAAGTCCATTCTCTTCCCAGAGCGATCCCCAAAACTTCCTTGTGCAAACCAAGCATCTGGAACACTCTCTGTCAAGTTTCTGTTTACCCGAATCTCTACTTGGAGATCTCCCATAGATAGGAAGCTTGGATTATTACACCTGATTTTCTTAGCCCCTAGTGTAAAGGAAAATATTACCTAGTAGAGAGTATCGCTGTGCACATACCTGGAGCTTTTCTGCTGTTGTCTCAGGAGAGCATAACATTTGTTTCTCTGACTAGATGTGCCCTGGTATTTGACAAACATTTTATTTGCTTGCTGAGTGAGTCCTGGGTAGTTGTAACACTGAGAGAGGCAGAGAAGGTCCTTGGAGATTTAAAAACTGTGCGTTGGATTCTAGAGTGTTGGCTGTGTCTTCCTTTGATGACGTAATGGAGGCCAGCGTCTACCACATGTTGCCAACAGATTGACAGATTGTTTTATTTATTATGGGGTTTTGGGAGCACATACATTTTTAAAGCAAATACAGTTTTTACATTTTCCACACACACGCACTTTTTTGAAAAACTTAACAAATCTGGTGGCGCTCTGCTTACCAGTGTCCTGCCTTCTTTATGTGGGGCACCATGGTCTCAGTTGCTACCTCTCCATCACACTCTCATTACTGCAGCTGCCCTCTGTCAGCAGACTTCTCCCAACTCACTCACTGTACTACCAGCTCGCTCCATAGCTTTTCCAGTTTGGGACTTCCTGGTGTAGGAGGTTATAGGATGAGGCCTTTCCTAGAACCCATTCTCTTAAGCTTCAGCAAAGCCCAGCCCTTTAGCTTAGGGCATAAGCTCTTGTTGTAACTGCATTTGAATCCTGGCTCTGGCATTTGTTTGCTGTGGGACGGCTGAGTAATTGACTTAACTTCCCCGAGCCTCAGTTTCCGCATCTACACAATGGAATAATAACTGCACCTGCCTCTGAAGTTGTAGTAGTCGACGAGTTCACATAATCCAGGCCCTTAGAACAGTTTAATTATTAATTAGCTTTTCAGACTCTTGTAGTTAGGTAGAAAGGTGAAGGGACCTCTGAGCACTGTGAAAAAAGATGTCCTCACTGATAGTGGTTTCCATAGTTTTGTTTCCATCAACAGGAAACGCTGTTTCACTGGGATTGATTAGGGAACATGTCTTAAGTTGTACTGTAGGTAAAGGATATTTTAATATTTTAGCATGTGGATATTTGGGCTTTTTCCTCCCTTTTCCTGCTTTTGTTTACTTTTTCTTTACCAAAGTATCCTCCTAAGACCCAGTGTGTTAGCTCCCACTTTCAGAGAGTATGTACTGAATTTTCCACCTCTGCATGTTTCATGTATATTTCATGTTAGTAATTCTCTAGAAAAAAGTACTTAATCTATTTATATTTTGTATTTCTCTTACCAAACTTGGTTCTCAAGTAGGAGGCACTCAAATTAGTAGCTCCTTAATTAGATACAGTGTCATATTTTTGGTTCATTTTAGAAAAATGTACTGGGAAATGTACATCTCACTGTTTTAAGATTTTTGCATCATTAAAGTCAGTTACTATTATAGTAACTCAACCTGCCTGGAAAAGAAATAGCACCTATATTAATCTCCTTCCCATCCCTTCTGTCCAGTGTGAGGGCTCTAACTGTCATGTGGATTAGCAGTGTATTAAATAAGAACTGCTGTCTCTATTTAATAAATATATAGGAAGAATTAATTAGCTCTCACGAGATAGTTGGGAACAGATGTATCTAGATATTTTTATAAAGACCTAATGTAATTTAAGTGTCTGTTTATTGCTTTGTATTCAGTACCAAGCCTCATTTATTTTTTTAAAAGGAGGGTATTTTTAAAAGTATGACCTCAGAGAACCAGTAAATTTCTGTGATTCATAAATGGATTGTTATCAGAGGAAGTTGGTGGTCTGCTACTGTTTCCTATCAGTTTCTTTCCCCAGATAGAAAATCTTACACCAAGTAGGACTAGAAGCTGTGTTGACTTATTAACATGCTTTGTTTTTGCTTATTTATAAGGCTCTTAAAAGTCTTATGTAGTTCTAATAATATTTAACCCAAGACTCTATTTCTTTGAAAAGGGGTTCGCCTAATTTGCATCTGTACCCTTGTAAAGTGCCCTGGGGTGCAATGTGAAATAAGATGGTGAAGAATATGGACTAATGGAGCTACTGCAAACCTACAGGAAGCATGGCTTACAGCTGATAGGATAAAAGAGAGATGTTCCCAGGCATTGTTAAGTCTGAAAGGGATTCTACCTGCTTCCACCTTCCCAGACCTAGCTGTGTCACCACCACCTCTGACGGTCACCCAGCCTCCACACGGGCACTCCAGCTTTAGCTCACTGTTTTAGGACGCTAAGGGGCAGCTCCAAGCACTGTAGTTATTTCCTGCAGTTAAGTGGACCCAGCCCTCTGACTTCTAGCTGTTTGTTCCTCTTGAACCTTCAGAGAATGAATCCAGTCTCATTCCAAGAAAAAGTATATCCAGCACAAGACTTTCCTCTTCAGGTGGAAACCCCTCACTTAGACTGCCCTGCTGGTTCACCCTCTTAGAAACATTCTGCTTTCCTCAGGTCCCATTTGAAACATGGCACCTTGGACCATAAAGGTACTCTTCCTGCTAAGGGTAATTACCTTATTGTTATGGCTTGGGTCTAGATGTCCCCCCAAAGCCTTCTACAGTCATAGGTAGGGCTTTTTCAGAGGTGGCTGGATCTAGAATGTGTGACACTGGGATTGATTCATGGTGCAATGCTAGGCTCAAGGGCACTAGGATTAAGGGTGTGAGTGCTGCCTGCCCTAAGTAGTCTGGATAAGATATAAGGGATAGGAAGAGTTGTGGTCGACCCTTGTTGCTTTGCTGCTACCTTTTGCCTGCCGTGAACTATGCCACTCTGCCTTGGACTCAGCTGACTACAGACTGAAACCTCTACAAACTGTGAGCTAAATAAACCTGTCCTCCTTTGAATGTAGGGTATTTTGTCTCAGCAAAGAGAAAAGTAACTACTACACTTATTCTGGACACCAAAATCCTGTTAACATAACAGAAGTGTTTACTTTTTCCAGCAACCTTGAGTTAATTTACACTGACCCTGTGATATCCCTTCCCCCTCAAAACACACATAGGTCTTTTCTCAAATGAAAACTGCCCAGATTAGCTGTGAACTTGGCATTATTTTGAAACTTTATCTACTGATTTTGTATTTCTGCCTGTATAGTCCCACCTTACTGCTTTTAGTTCTATCACTCTTGCCTATTGATGTAACTCTCAATTTTTATATTCTTTAAAACATCGTGTTTTCTTGTCCTAAGTTTTTGTCATGAAAGGATTTGAGATAAGCTGCTTTTGAGAAACTTGTGCAGGATAAAGGACAGGGCTCTGTGACTTGCCCCTGGAAAACATGTAGGTTGGCACGAATATATTAACCAGTCTCCCTTACAGTTGATTAACTGTCATGAACTCATGTGGTCCCGATATCACGTCACCCACATTTATCTATCCTTTCTCAAGGTTATCAAGAAAGGCTAAAACTAAGATACACGGTGTTTGTAGCCTCTCCAATCTATCAACCTAGAAACCCTGCTGAAAAAGTGAAATGAGGTTAGCATGCCATGGCTTTTTCTAAGAGACCTCCTGCTGGTACTTAATGGTGTTATTTATCTTTTCTTAATAGCCCCATGGCATCTGAATAATTTCTTCTAAATTTTTACCAGGGGTCAAAATCAAGCATACAAGTCTCAGGGTTCCTCTTTCATTTTGAAATTGGGACATTTGCTTATCTCTAGTCTTTTGGTTTGTTTCTGTTCTGTGATTTCCTGCACATTATTAGCAGTCATACACTTTCAGGATGTAATTGGTTTACAACTGGACACTTGGACTCATCTGAAGCACCTTAATATGTTCTTTTGTTTTTTATCAACGCTCCTATCAGGATCTTTTCTTTTGCATTATTGTGCCACGCTTTCCAAATCTGAGCGTTGTTCTCATTCCTGAAGAATCTGGAAACAGAATAGGAACTGAGTGTCCTCACCTCCTCACTGTTGGTTGTTGTTGATGCTCTATTTGCTGGCACCTTCCAGGAGGACCAGCCCTGCTGCCTGCACAGGATGTGGATGTCAGGTCCAGCTCTGAAGAGGGATGGATGCTGTGAAGCGGTAGCAGAGGCAGGAGAGCCTGCCTAACTGTCCGATGGATGAGCGGGTGCAGTGCTGGCGAACAGTGGGGCGATGGAGATGGCAGCCAGGTGGCTCCTGCCTCCCTCTCCCTGTCAAGCCCTACTCTTGCCCTAGCTGGGCCTGTGTTCTTCCTACCTCTGATTTTAATAAGCCTGACGGTATCACTGGGAATGGCAGTGGTAAGCCCCAGCTTGTTCTGAATTTAGCTGTCTTTGCATCAGGGAAAACTGTTCTTTCATCCTGGAAATACTTCCCACCTGTTATTTCCAGCATTGTACAGCTGAACCCAGCCATGGGTCAGAACTACAGGTGGCGTAGTCCTGCCTGCTCCCTATGCAGTGGAGGACAGAGTTCTTCTACTGAGTACTAAAGGGGCAGCTGGATGAGAAATTCAGGGAAGGTGTGGTCAAGTAAGCCCCATTACATGATGATACAGTGAGTGTCTGGTGGTTATGGTCACTTCTGGTTAAAAAAAAAAATTAGGTCATCATAAAGACTTTTGCCTGAGAAAGTGGAGCCAACATTTCATTACTTTACCTTTTGAAGGATTTGGTATTCCATAAACCTAATTCTACTAAATTATACTTGTTTAATTCCTATACACACTGGAAAATAATTTGTAGCATTTCCCTTATTTAGAACAAGGCTTAGCCACTATTTTTGAAGGCCCCCATATAATCAATCCATTTGTCAGAAGAACTGGGTCTTATTAAAAACTTGTTGCCTTATTCCAGCGTTTCCTCTCAAAAGAACTTGAAGTGCATTGAGGTTATTTCCTATGTAAAAAACTTTCCACATTGATTATCATTATGAGGCTTCATTCAGTGGACCATTGAAACCAGTATTCAAACTGTCTTTCTAAAATCAGACTGATAAACCAGGCATAGTGGTGCAGGCCTGTGATTCCAGCTACTCAGCAGGCTGAGGCAAGAGGATCATGCGTTTGGGTTCCGCCTGGGCAAGTTAGCAAGATCCTGCCTCCAAATGAAAAATACAAAAGTCTGGGAATGTAGCTCAGTATGAAAGCCCTAGGTTCAAGCCCTGGAACTACAATTAATTAAATTAGATTTATAGTAACACACACCTTTGTAAAACTAAGGATGCCATTATTTAGCACTTTGTTGTTATTATTTCTGCTTTTTTACCCAAGTCAGTCAGATTCCTCACATTCTTTTCAGAATGATTTGAAATTATTCTGTTAACATCTCTTTTGTTCAGGACCTGGCATCCCTATTGAGTTGTAATGTCTATTAGTCTCAGATTGTAGAACCTTTCCTTTCTCCAAGTTGAGCAGATTCTGTAAAATGCCTATGGTGGTACTTGTCATGCCCAGGTTCCTCTTGCTTCACTATTACACGTTCTGAGATGACATGTTCTGCTTTGACTTCTGCATCCCTTTGGTCAACACTGTCATCAGTCTGAGGTCTCAAGTGTGAAACAACAAAAGTTTTCCTTGTCCTCTTCCCTATTTCTGACAGGTACTCAAAGTCTCCTTACCACACAGGTCTCTCCAAAGCTCACTCCTCTTCCTGCCTGGTCTCCACTAGCCCCGCCCCAGGCTGCTCCTTGGTTTGGTGGTATCATGTCTGCCTGTTACTTAACTTTCAGTAGCTTCCCATTTCCTGCTCAATGATGATCCGAATTCTTGCCATAGGAAAAAGTCTTCCAGGTGCTGAACCTAACAGCCTTCCCAGCTTTATCTTCTAGCACATCCCTCCCTGCTCTTCCATGTATTCCAGGCATTGCAACTAACTCTGTATTTGGAATACTGCGTACACTTTCATACCTCTCATTTATAGTTCAAGCTGGTACCTTTCTGAATGCCTCTGCTCTAAGGCACAGTGGGGCAGCTGCCTTTCGATGGGCTGAGGTTGGCTGTTTTTGCCTAGAGGAAGATCTAAATAAGATGGAGGGTTTCTCCAAGATGTGTCCAACCCTACTGTTGCTCCCCTGCCACCATGCAAAGGGTTACCTGTGTTGCAGTATTTAGAAGTTCTCATCTGAAGAGGTTCTCCTAGAGGCCTGGCAGAGCCAAGCTTATTTTCATTTCCAGTTGAAGAGCACTCATTCAGTGATCTGTAATAAAACAGTAGAGTTCTGGGCAGCAGAGCTGACTGCTTAGGTGGAGTTGAGAAAGTAAACTGACTGATGAGGAACACTCTCCATGTGCTGGCTGCTGTAACAAAGCCACCTTATCCTAGTTCACAGTCATAGCTCCTCCTCTCCAAGGTAAGTGTCCACCTTTTACAAATGAGGGACCAGTCAGACAGGCTGACTGTCTTCTGAGGATCACTCACAGCCCTGATTCTATCAGGTCAAGCCTGGGAGGAAGGAGCTGGGCTGGGAGGAGGACCCAGGTCTTCTGACTCTAGTGTTCTTTCTACTCTACCGCAGGTGTAACGCGGAGAAGGTGCCCAGTAATTCTCAGTTGGAAATAGAAGGAAACAGGTCAGGATCTGTCTTGTTCCCGTGTCTCTAAATACAGGTATCCCTCCATACGTGAATGGATTCATAGAATCGGCCTTGGGAAGCAAATTTCTCTCATCGCCCTCAAGTTTCCCCTTCTTGTCGTGGGGGAATTCAGGCACAGATGCTCTTAACCACCTGCAATGCCTTTGAAGTTGCTTGTGCTGTGCTTTAATCTGGGAGCATCCATGCGGTAAATACTCATCTTACAAAGGTGGTGGGAGCCACGCGGACCCCCACCCCCCAACCTGCAGCACCTGGGAGGTGGATCCCTGCTGCCTTGCAGCGCAGCTTCTCTGTGTTCCGCGGGCATCTGAACTCTGTTTTGGCGTAGCAGCTTGATCTGCACGACATGAAGCAGTGTGCACATTCATGCTGTTCTACATCGTGGAGCTGATGGCAAGTGGTGTTCAGAGACACTTGCTGAGTGCCCGCTCTGTGTGCACTGGGCTTCCCCCCCATGCAGGATGTCAAACAGTTGAGGCCAGTCTGTCTAAGCACTTTGTCCTTCGCTTCAGTTGGGTGGGAAGCAGAAATCTTTTTCTCCTAGAGATAGGAGAATCAGATGGTGGTGGCTGAGTGGGGAAGATGGATGTGTATGATATATGAGGCTTAAGAGTTATTTCTTATATATAGAAAATAACATTTCTTTTGCTCTTTTGATTCGTCTGTAATTTTAAAAATATTGATACAGTGCTTGTGATCATCCATATTCCAATTTGGTCAGCTGACCCGGTGATGTCTTTTGCACCATTCTTTTTGATCCAGTCAGAGTGAGATCTAATCTAGGGCCAGAAGAAAAAAGAACTGAGGATGTATCCTGGATATCGGGGTAGATATTGATCACCAATTGTGACATTCCTTTTATAAGGAGTTAAAAACCAGAGGTTATTTGTACCTACCCACATCTATGTAGAGATGAAATTGGTGGGCAGCATGGTAGACGTTTTTATATTTCTTGTTGCTGTTCAGTAAACAGTGATTAATCCAAGAAACCAGAAACATAAACCATAGTGTGTCATAAGAAATATGAAGAATTGTGTTCTGTTTTTACCACTGTGAGAAGGAACTCAGCCTGAATTTGAATTTGGGGGTCCAAACAACTAACCCATGGCTGTTTAAGTTTGGGCAGTTTAAACAGTAAACTTGGGCAGCTCTTTCACCCTTACCAAGGCCTGTGGTGTAACCAGCATGACACACACTAACCAACCATCCCTATGAACAAGGACCAGCCTGACCTCCTTTTTCCCTTGCCCGCCCTTTCCTCTTCCATCAAAGCGATCATGTGACCATGAAAAGTGGATTAATAACTTTGAAGGGAATTGCAAGCCCCTGATGTCATGTCTGGGCTATTTGAGGGTAGATAACATAACCATATATAGTTAGGACCTAGACAAATGCATTTCTACCAAATACACATTTCAACTACAATTTGCAAAGGCATAGCAAGAGGCTAGGTGCTTGCTTCCTCAGGGCTCTTTGGAGCCTGTCTCATCCCTTACTGTCACATCCACTTACAGGTTGCATTCTGATGAATTAACCTTTCCTTCCAAGAAGTTACCAAAAAATCTTTGTGTTCAAAAGTACTGAGTGCTTTCTGTGTCTGTCTCTATGTAAGTATTGAAAATAGAAAAAATGAAGAAAATGGAATGCCTTAAATCCCAGTTGGGTAGAGATAAGACAAATGAATATTGCAAGGATCAGTCAGAGTAAGATGCACCTGGTGAAGCAGAGGGATAGAGCAGGGGTGGGTAGGAATTGGCCAAGGAGATCATGGTGAGGAGGTGAGGCAAATGTGTTGAGTTACATGGGTGTGGCAGCCAAGAAGTGTGGAAAAGCAGACTCCCTCTAGTGACCATGCCTTCCAGTGTGACAAAGGCCCCAGGTGCAAAGGAAGAGGATGACAGCAGCGGTGAGGCTGCAGAGATAGCAGAGCAGACCTGGGTGCTGTGAGCACCTGGGAGGCACTGGGGGCTCCTGACTCCAGGGCAGTATCTGCTGTGGCAGTGACGGTCAAGAACACTGTTTCGGAAAGGAGACACAGCTGAGCTCTGGAGGAGAGGGTGCAGTGAGCAGCGTGCGATGTCTTGGGTAGAGGCTGCTTCCTTTAGGAGGAAATGGCAGTGGAGAGGAAGACACGAGAATATGTCCTCGGAGGTGTGAATGTCAGGACTTGGACTGACTTGGTGTGAGAGGAGGAGGAAGGAGGTAGCTCTTGGCTCTCTGCCCTGGTGATGAGTGAATGCACATGGAAGGGAAGTCTACATGTGTGGGATGTGGGGTGTGTGTGTGTGTAGTAACCCAGCCCCTCCACACTGCACCACAGCAAACCTGAGTCCTCTCCCTGCCTATTAACAGCCCTTGATGTTGTCTTTATGTTGTTAGCATTGACCACCCCTTTAGGACCAACCAACAAGCTCTTTTAGACCAAATGTATTTTTAGGATTCTTGGCACCAGACATTCTGTATTTTTTTAAATGGGGACGGAGGCTGCTAGGATGGTCCTCACACTCGAGCACCTTTGTCTTTAGTCATTCTAAATAGATTACAAAGAAATTGCCATGAAATAGCTGTGTGGCCACGAGGATACATTTTAGGAGATCTGGATCTAGGTGACGGCACCAGTACTCTCTGTATCAGATGCTGTGGACCCAGCAGAGAGCTGACAGTTGATCTTGTAGAGTAGCAGCCTCCAGACGTCAAAGCCTGGTGCATTGTCTGGGATGATGCCTCCCAGAGTGTGATCTTCCGATTACCAGCTCTCAGCTCCCTCTGGAGAGTCCAAGCCCATCAGAGACTCTGGGGAGCCTTACTCTAAAGCTGTTTAATTTTGTTTAACCCAGGGTTCCCAAACTCACTTGACCAGTGAACCCCTTTTTCAAAGAGCACCACTGATCATGCATTAAGCTGATGGACTGTGAAGCACATCACGTGTAGGAGATGTGGGTCGCAGTGGCCCTCATTACAAATCCTGATGCTTTAAATGTTTACTGGAGCAGGCTGCTGTGACTCCTGGCGACTTGACACTCATGGCGCTCAGCCGGATGCACCCACGTGCAGCAGGTGCGCAGCCCACAAATACACTTCAGCCGTCTGCTTTTTGAAGCACACAAAGGCCCCTCTGGCTCCCAACGCAAGCCTGGCCCTGGAGCCCTTTTCCTCAGCGTCTCTGCCTCTCAAGCTCAGGGCCAGCACCTGCATAGATGACGCCTCTCCGGGAGGGGAAGGAGTCCCAACCGGAAATAACAGAACAGGTTTTCTTATAGGGCTCACAAACTGATTTCAAAACCACTCCATAAACATTTTGATCAAAAATAGATTGCTATGAAATTCACTGCTTATTTGGATATGTGGGAAGAATCTGTCTTACTCCTTTGGGTTCATACCTCGTGTAGTATCTTAAGAATTTGCTAAAATGGCCATTGTAGGCAAAGCAGTAGTGGTACCTGCTACACCCTACCCATTAAACAAAGCAGCATTTGGGACTTGCGCACAGATGGAGAGGCTTTTGATTTTGTTTGCCTGCAATTGTTTTGTGTTTGGTCACAATTCAGACAAAAGCTTTGAAGCATTGTTACCATTAAGGAATGGAGACAGTGCAGCATAAGATCAAAGGACAGAATATTCAGTAGAAGATCAATCCTTAACTTATTGAAAAAAAAAGCATCATTTATTTTTTCTTCTTGCAGTACTGAGGATTGAACCCAGGGCCTTCTGACTGAGCTATATCCCCAACCCCACTCTATCCCCCCTTTTATTTTTAGTTACCTAGGCAGGTCTCGAATTTGGGATCTTCCTGCCTCAGCCTCCTGAGTAGCCAGGATTTACAGAGTAGGCATGTGCCATCACATTTGGCAGGAAGGCATACTTAAGAGATCAGAGCAAGTCTCCAAGATGAGGTGGTGACAGCTGGGGAACTGGCCAGCCAGAGAAGCAGGAGGTCATTTAGCTATCCCGTTTAGAAAGAGACAGTGAGAATGCCACACCCATAGCTGTATTATGAAATGTCAGGTGAGGGTAGAAGGGGTGGGAAACTAGATGTTCTTAGTCCATTTTCTGAAAGTCAAGTGACTTTTCCTGGTAGTAAATCTACAGTACTGAAAGAAGTCTCCTCAAAATGCTTGTTAACAAACAAAAACGTCTCTGAATTGAATCCTTTTGCGAGCACCTGTGATTGTAGTAAATGCAACAAGAGAACCTGAAGAAGTATCTGGGAACTTTGTACAATAGATTGCTATGTTGCAATATCTTAGATAAGAATTTAATGTAATTATTTTATCTATTTGGCTTTATTGGCAGTGTGAAAAGGTTCCAGTTGGTGAAACATACTGACGTGATGATGTAATAAATAAAAGTTGGCCATGTGAACCTTCGATATCATTCCTCTGGGAAAAATGAGGTTGAGTTAGAGTATGTTTTCAAAGAAGGTAGCCTTATATTAAATGCCAAGACCTACTTTATGGATACTGTAGTCCTAAGTAACATCAATTATAAATCTTTTTGTTGAATAAGAGTACATTATTAGTGTTTATGCTTTGGCGTATTTCCTTTAAAGTTTTTTTTTTTTTTTTTTTTTTTTAACATATTGGGGATTAAACCCAGGGCCTTCCTGGCTGTCTCAAACTTGGAGTCCTCCAGCCTTGGCCTCCCAGAATGGTGGGATTACAGGCATGCCCCACCACACCCAGCTTCCTCTTGTCCTTTATGTCTATTTAAAAACTTTGAAGTTGTACTGCACTTACGATTTTTATATATTATGAGTGCTTCAGTTTTTTTATAATGCCCTAACAAGCATTTCTTACATTGTTTAAAGGCACGACTGTACAATCTCTAGCATGCTATTACTTGTCCTTTCCCTGACTGTTAAACATTTCAGCTGCTTTGAATTAAAATAATCCAAATAAACATTTTCAGGTATATATATTTATCTGCATTTCAGCCTAGATCACAAAAGTAAAATTGTTTATCAGGGTGTGATTGTATCCAGGATGTGGGGAAAGTCTTGCTGCTGTTCTGCCTGAGCCCAGCAAGCCCTTTACATCCCTAAAATGGTGGCCTTTACCTTGGACCAGTCTGATGCAACTTTGTTTTTCTTAATAACTGAAGAGCATTATGTGTTTACAGTCTTTTTTGATCCTTAGGTTAGGGTGATTGTAACAACTTTCAATTCCGCTCTTGAAAATAAACCGACTCTCACCCTGCTGTGTTTTGCTGTTGCTTCTTAGATGCTTCAGGAGCCTGGGAAGTCGGAGCCAGTTTGTTAGGAATCTCCAGTCAGTACTCAGTGAGAGATGAGAGGGCTCAGCAGTGCATACAGGGTGCTTGTGACATCTTTGTCACGTCTGGCTCAGGTTTCTGGGGTCCTCTGGATACCAGGGGTACAGCTGTGGTCCTGAGGCAGTTTTTCAGTAGCATGTATTAAACGTGACAGGAGCCTGACCCCGGGAAGCCCAGCAAGCTTTCCACCCACCGCCCTGCAGGGCTGACCTCGTTTTTAAAGTTTTCTTCCCAAATAATTTCCTATGTGTGATTCCTTTAGAACTCTAATCATTTCCCAATAAAAAAATCCTTCCCACCCATAGTGAGTATTCCAAATCATGATGTCATTTTCTTACAGGTAAGATAGCCAAGTTTTTTAACCTTCATTAGTTAATGTAAGATCTCTGTTTCAGGACTAGCTATGCGGAGTTGTCAACCAATTAGCTGGTTAAACAAACAAACAAACATAAAACAGGGAAAAAACACCTCACCCAATATCAATCTTCTTGCTTTAGACTTGCTTAGAAAAATCACATAAAGATATAACAGCCGATATTTTAAAGGATTGTTTCTTACCTAGCTAGTTTTTAACATGCCTGCGACTATGCCTGAAATGTAATCTGTAGTAAAACTGATATTTGTGTATAATGTATAATGTATGCAGTTTCCATTTTAGGGGCATAGTAAGATAGATGTGAAAATACTGCCTTTTTGCCTTGTGGAGGTAATGGGGAAAAAATTGGTTTCTAGATGAAGCATAACAAATTAAATCTCCGCTGTGTGAAAGTACCTGTATGCGCATGCGTGGGTGCACATTATGTATGCCGGTTTGTGAGCCAACATTTGTAAGTGCTGTGCAGAGCTCTTCCACTGAATCCATGTAACATCAAGGCCATATCGTTGTCATTCACCTCCACCGAGGAAGGGAAGGTGCTTGCCCACTCGTACTTGTCAACTCTTAAGTTCATTGCCGTTATTTAAATTTGTACTGTAGGCTAGCTTTTCCCCAGCCTGGTTGTCTTTGTCTAAGCAGAGTCACACTTCTTAGTCTGAGATAGATAATTGTACAAAATGGATTTGAAATCTAAGCCTTCTTGTAAACTAAGGGAAAGATTCTTGCTTTTGTTGTGGGAAGCAGTGTGCTTTGACTTAGCACTTTATACTTAGGCCTTAAATTGTACAAAATGACATAGTGGAAAATACCTTGAGGTAGAATAAGCATTTCAACAAAATCAGATCACCTGCTACAGACCATTGTACAATTAGTTCATTGTTCTGTACTTTAGAAATTCTGGCACTGAAAAAAAAGTTGAAAGGTACATTAAAAACCGTATGCCCAGCTCAAGTTTGCGAAAGGAATCCCAAGAATTCAAAATGCTCTGAAGCTGCTTTTTTAATCTTTTTAACCTGTAGTGTTTGGGGAAAGCAAGTTACTTACAATCCACTAGCAAGTGGTTCTGCTGCCTCCGTGCATTCTGTAGGTTTCATGAAAGTTGCGTGGTGCCCAGCACCCCAGGCTTTGCCCAGTTGAGCTGCCATCCAAGCCATTGGTCTGGCAAAGTGAGGAGGGGATTTGACTGTATGTAAAGCATTTGCACTCTGTAGGAAGGAGAGAGAAAACAATATATTTGGAAGAATGAAGTTCTGAGCAGTGACATATTGTGAGTTAAGAGTAATATTTAGGAGAATTTCCTCTCTCTTTATAGCAAATGGGTTCTTGGTTCTGGATAGCTCATGAAGTATTTGAAGAGGGCAAAAACAAAGCAGCTTTCAGCCCTGGAATGAAAGATGGTGAGGGCTGGAAGCCTGGGGTGGGTTAGAAAGGGAGGCTGTGTCATGGTCCATAGGGTCCACAGAGGAGATACTGCCGTGACCAGTAAGAAGGGGGAATATGTCCCGGAGGGCTGGGACAGCCAGACCGAGATGCTGAGTGACGGTGGAAGCAACATACTGGGAAGAAACCTTCCGTAGGAGCTTCTGTGTTATCCTTTTGTCCATGGCCTCTGGAAGAGCAAAAGGAAAGTGGCTAAGACCGTCAAGGCCAGTGAGGCTTTATTTTTAGAATAAATTTGTTTCTCATTTTATGGCATTGACGCCCAGTCTCACAACACTGAGTTCTCCCCTTTATGAGCACAAATAACTCCGGACTTGTCTTCAAATAAGGTTTAGGGTTTCTGTGTCCTGACTGAGGAGAGGGCAGACCATGTCTGCTTTTGCACCCCAGGCTCTGAGTTTTATCGCACTCTTTGTTCATGTCCCGTATTTCACCAGTCGCAGAGTGGAAATAAAGAGTATGTCTGTCACAGGTGTATAAAGCAAAGATGTGCTTGTAATCTGTCCATAGAAAAATGACACCATCTGTTGGCAATGTAGAAAATGACACAGTGAAGATGTCACCAAGGGTCAGATGTTAAATCCACGATTACAAAAAGGTCTGGCTTTTGGGTCGATACTAGGTTATAAAGAATGCTAATGTTCAAGAAGTCACTCATAGAAAAATTAGGAACTACAAATTCTTCTCATTGCCTTTCATATATCCTTTTTCAAAGAGGGAAAATGTTGGTGTGTGTAAAACTCAGGATGGTAGAAAAATATGCCAGAAACTGGCCCCATGCTGAAGGTGATAGTACATGAGCTAGTCTTTATGTGGCGTACATTCTGCAAGTACAGATGCATTTCTCAGCCTACAGGGAGGTGGAGCAGGCCCAGTTGTAAGGGTGAGGGAACACCTTGCCACAATAATCTAAAAATCCAATTCTCTAGAGTTCTGCAGTCCTACACCTCTTGTCTTTAGCCCTGATTTTAGTATCCATACAGCCCATATATGGATTAGAAAAATAAAACAGTGACCCACAGTAGCAGGAAACCTCGCCCATCCCTTTGACAGAGGATTTTCGGTTAATTTATGCAGGCCCCTTTGCACTTCAGCTTTTTCCCCACTGGTTGCTAGGCAACCCTTTGAGTTACTGCGCATGCCTTTTTTATGATAACTGTCATTATGATTATTTTTTAATTATACAACTGAGACCATGGATTAAAACAGCATATTGTCACTCATGCTTTGCCACTGCTTCCCAGCATTCCCGAACACACCCAGAATCACCTTCTGAAATTTACATAGCAGTGATTTATGATCATTTTTTGATGTTTCTGGCTTCACAAAGGAGCTAGAGGTGACATCATAAGGGGAGCCAGATTTTTGTGAAAAACGACTATACCATATATCACAAGCAGTTATTGATCTGAGTAGGCCAAATCAGATATTAGGATCTTGAACCTAAATTATTATATCTTTGTTCTGTTAACCATGTCTGCTTCCAGTATTAAGGGATGGGAAAGCTTATATTGCTTTGTAGCCTGTTTTACAAAATGCTAAGCCTTTGTAACTGTTAAACCTGCTTTTGCATAAACCCAACATGAATTTGGGGGAGGGTACAACACTGATCCTAGAAACGTGAGGCACTCATACTTGCCAAGGACATTTGTTCTTTTTTGCCCAAATTGCTCCACACACAGATAAGTGCAGTGAGCAAAGATGAATGGTTTCCTCGAGCAAATGTGTGTGGCTCAGCGTGTACAATACTCTGAAGACCAAACAGATAGTGACTAGGAGCGTACAAAAGCTTTTCATCTGAGTTTCCAGAGCATATTCTGAGTTATTTCTAAATATAAAATGAATTTGAAGACAAAGGAGAATGAAAATAATAGCTGTGTGTATTTTTAACCAACTCTGGTATTCATTTAAAAATGCAATTTTTGGTTAAAAAGGATATTTTAAATAGCACAATAAATTGAGATTTGCTGTAAAAGAAATCCACAGTGTGGTTCTCATATGTGATAGAAGTAGGGTCCTAATTGTGTTTTAATATGATTTGGAGTTAGCAGAATGAGCATTAATCTCCAATATAATTCTGGAATTTTCTTCATTTTCAACAGCCTCATGTCTGTGCCTATGTGGATGGGGTGTAATTTGCTTTGTTGCTGTGTCCAGAAGCAAAACCTTCACTGAGGAGTGCTTGATCTGCTTTGTTTCTGTTTGTTTCACCCACTCTGCAGTTCAGGGCGGCAGCTCAGTGAAGTCTTCATTCAGTTACCTTCCAGGAAAGAGTTACCAGAATACTATGAATTAATTAGGAAGCCAGTGGATTTCAAAAAAATAAAGGTAGATATTTTGTTCACTAACTTTATTCTTCAAGTAGATGAAGAAGTATGAATGTGTTGAGATGGTTAGACTCGGGGGTCAAGGGTGGCACCAGGCTTGCTCCCGGAAAGGCAGGGCTGTCTTTATGCCTTTCTGTGTGTGTGTGTTGCATAACCATTATGTTCAGAGGTTGTAGTATGACTCGCCCTGCCCTTTTTGTTTCCTGTCCAGAGCTCCTTCCTCCCCTGGGGGTGAAGGGCACTGGCAGGAGGGGTTTTCAGTGAGTGGCAGCTCCTTGGGTTGAGCAGTCCCATACCCCAGTAGGGCTGTGGGCCATGAAGGCAAAGAGAAGACCAGGCTTTCTTAAGTTAACAATTGTTGCATCTTCTTCCTCTATTTTATCCATACTTTCCATCAGGAAAGAATTCGTAATCATAAGTACCGGAGCCTGGGTGACCTGGAGAAGGATGTCATGCTTCTCTGCCACAACGCTCAGACATTCAATTTGGAAGGATCCCAGGTATGTCTCTACTTGTATGAAAAGTTTTTAACCTTCAGCATGCCTGTGTTTTTTCAAGTAAAGCATTTCATTTTTACTCTCTCAGTGATGGCTACTGTACTCTAGCAGAACAATGAAAGAAAAAATAAAAGGTTATTCTGTGCTCCCTGTGTAAGGAAATCAAGGCTTTGACATTTTCAAATTACCTTTGTGCCATAGCTGGCCTGGCTGCTGTTCACACTTCCCTTCTCCCACACTTCCTGTCTCTAATTGGAGGAGGAATTCAGGTAAAGCATTTAAGGTAATGCCTTTTGAAAGGCTGCCATACCATTTTTGGTTTTAGAGGAACTATATTTGATTATGTTTACCTTGATTTTTCTCACTGTAACTTCACATTAGGAGTTGAAAGTACTATGATTTAAAACAAAGCACAGAGGGAAAAGTGCCTCTAATTGCTTTTCAAAATCCTTTTCATTCCCTTCTCCACAGTTAGCAAGTCTTAACAGTATATAAGTGACACCAAATTCATTAAAACAACAAACGGGAGGGCACTTCTGCTTTAATTACGCCTCAATTACTCTCACCTTTTGTTGGAAGTCACTTTTTTCTAGCTGTATTTTGACCTCGTGCTCTCATAGCCAATGAAAAAGGAAGAAAAAAATGCCTGGTCAGTGTGTCTGCTGAGCAACACTCTCAGGCCACCATTAAATTCTTAAGCTTCTTTCCTGACCTTAATCTTTTGCCTGTGTGTCAGTTCAATTCATCAAATTAAGGAAAATGTGAATCCTCAGGTTGTGCCTTCAACAGACTCTGCCCTTGAGGATTAATAGCCATTAATAGTACTGTTAACCAAAACAAGAGGTGTTGAGGACAAGCTTTCCATTTTAGAGACCCTCTAAAGAAAGTTGTGATCAAAGCCAAGCAGAAGACAGTAAGTGGAAGAATCAGAGAAGCCTTTTGTGTATGATCATTTTAGTCTCTGGGTAGATTTTTTGGGTCCCGTAGGTCGAGGTGACATTATTAACTACGATACGCATCCAGTCCCTTTCTGGTCCCACACCCTCTTTGTCTGTACTCTGTCTCACAGTTGCAATGAGGTGACAAATGGCCCTTGGTTGGTTTCACTTCCAGTCTGTCCTAGATGCTAGCTTAGCTGCTTATCTTGCCCAGGTGCTGCCCCTTAGGCTTCAGGGTTTCCCATGCTCCATCCAGAGTGAACTTGATCTCCATGGAGTGTTAGCTGCTGTCCTCTAGCTTCACCCCTACACCTTTAGCCATGCTACTTCCAGCCTACATAGTTGATGGTCCAATCACTCAGGTCCCACAAACAGCTGCTTCCCAACGCACTTCCTTGAGCTTTGAGATCATGGTAGATTTGCATACGGTTGTAATTTATATGGAGAGATCTGGTATACCTTTTACCTCCTCACCAGATAGTAACGTCTTGCATAGCAGAATACAGGGTCATAGCCCAGGAACTGACAATGGTGTCACGCCAGATACACCTTTTTACTCTTGCCTTTCCACCCTTATTCGTTTGCTCTCCTTCTCACGCCCTGCGATGTCTCTGATAAATGCTGCCCCTGTGGCTCTATCCCACAGCCCTCTCTCTCTCCTCCTACTGTTCTTCATTTTCCTGTAGTACTCACTGCTTAAAGGAAAAAAAAAAATGCATCCTCATCTTTACCATAAAGCGAAATGTTCCTAGAAAGCAAGGACCTATTCTTTTTCCTTTAAAATTTTTTAACTATTTTTGTAAAAGGGGCCACATAACATTTAAGTATATAGCTCCATGTTATGCAACAGATCCCTGAGACTTTTGCTTCTTGCAGAACTGATACTTTGCCTAGCGCAACTCTCTGCTCCCCTACCCTAGTTGGTACCCACCATTCTCCTTTGATCCTGTGAATTCAATTGTGTATTTCATACCTCATAAGTGGAGTCATTCAGTATTTGTCTTTTGGTGATGGCTTATTTTTTCACTTTGCATAATGTCCTCAAGATTCCTTTCATGTTGTAGCTTGTGGCAGGATTTTCTTCCTATTCAGGGCCGAATAATATTTCACCGTGTGTATGTACCACATTTTGTTTAGCTCTGCTTGGCTATTCATCTATCTGTAGATAATTTGGATCGCTTCTAACATTTGCTTGTTAGGAATAATGGTTTTGTGAACATAGGTATCCAAATGTATCTTCAAGACCTTGCTTTAAATTATTTTTGATACATAACTGGAAGTGGGATTGCTAGATCAGATAGCAGTTCTGTTTTTAATTTTTCGTGAACTTTGACAGTACCTGCACAGGGCCGTGCTGAGGTGTGTGCATACACTAAAAACAGGATGTTGGCTGGATGTATATTGGCTCGCACTGGTGAACTCAGTAATAGGGAATACCATTTTAAAGAGGTTCCTCTGCCATAGTGTTACCACAATATCTATCAATTCTTGGGAATGAATCCAGAGCCTTTGCACTAAGCTACACCACAGCTCTCTTTATTCTTATTTTGAGACAGGGTCTTGCTAAGTTATGCTCCAACTTGTGATCCTCAGCTTCCCCAAGTGCTGGGATTATAAGCTTATATGCACCAACATGCACAACTGAAATGCAGTTGTTTTTAAATACTGTTTTTCTTGTCAGAGATGTGGATATCTTATATACTTGTCACCTCCAGCTGTTTGTGCGTGCACATAAAACATTTTTTTTTGTTACCGGAGATCGAACTCGGGACCTTGCGCTTGTGAGGCAGGCGCTGGAACCACTCAGCTAAATCCTTGGCCCTGCACATAAAACATTTTGAAATGATTTTAACTGCATTTGGACTTGGTCCTATAGAAATGTGTGTGCCTGTATTTGGTTCTGTGTTTTTTTATAGGCACTAATGGTGATGTTTCTAGCACCATTCCTGTAAAATAATGCTAGTGCATTGCATAAGGAAGGGCACTCTGCTTTTGTGGGTCCCAGGCCCTCAGCCTTTAACAGATGCCACTTTGACCATTTAGATCTATGAAGACTCCATCGTCTTACAGTCAGTGTTTAAGAGTGCGCGGCAGAAAATTGCCAAAGAGGAAGAAAGTGAGGAGGAAAGCAATGAAGAAGAGGAAGAGGAAGATGAAGAGGAGTCTGAATCTGAGGGTGAGTCCAGACCCCTGGTTCCTTCCTGCACGTCCTTGTTCCCACCTGCAGAGATGTTTACAGGTGCTTCAGAGGGGGCAGATCTGGATTCAAGCCTTTGGTCTACTTTGTCACTGATGGGCACTCCAGGCAGCATAGTTAACCCGCTCAGCTCCATCATGGGTAAAAATGAGGTAAGTATGTAAGGAGGCACGCTGGGAAATGCTGCCTTTGAATGTTACAGTGGCACAACATTAGTATAAGCAGCACTTTTCTACCCTTCGGCACAGCTTCTGAAACCTAGAGGGCTTGAATCTGTATTTTGAAAGAGTTCTCACAGGATGTTGATGTGGCTGAGCTGAGGCCACGTTTTGGGAATTATTTTCTTTATCTTTTCTTTTAAACAGGGTCTCACTATGTAGCCCATTCTGGCTTTGAACTCATGGCGATCCTCCTGCCTCCAGAGTGCTGGGATTATAGGCATGTGCCACCAGGCCCAGCTTGGCAATTATCTTCCAAAGCCATGATGCTCAGACAGAATTGGAGCAGTGTGGTCCATTTTACTCACCCTGCAAAGTTTGGGGATTTTTGTGTGTGTGTGTGTGTGAGAGGTTATTTATCTTGGTTTTGTGTATAGTGCAGTTTTTGCATTGAGTTTTTCAAATTCATTAGAAAGGTATTTGGTGATCCTGAATTTTACCTTTATGGTGATAGCCTTGCTGTTTCAAAGAAGGTTGCCTTCAGAAGCCTAATCATGTCTTCCCTGCCTGCATCCCATTTTAGAGCAGTACAAGCAAACTTTAAATATTAAAATCACCCAATGTAGCATTGCATTTTGAGAAGTCTCCTAGATTTCATTCTTTTATATATATATATATATAAATTTATAGCATAATTTTTCTATACATGAACATTTTCAAGGGAAGCAGTGAGTTTTTCTACAAGATGTATTAACATTCATTAACGAATGTACAAAATGGCTTTTACTTTTTGAATCAGGTTTCATGTGATCTTGTTTGAGCCTTTTTAGAATTCATTATTGCTACTATAACAAATTACCCCAAACTTAGCTGCTTAAAACAACACAAGTTTATCACCTTATAGTCCTGTGGGCCACAGGGTCAACTGGGTTCTTCTGACCTAAAGCAAGGTGGCTGCAGGCTGCGCTTGGTGGCGGAGGTGGGGGTGAGGGTAGCCCGCCGCCTCGCTCATGCAGGTGACAAGCACAGTTCAGTTCCTCACACTGGTAAAACCAAGCTTCCTGTTCTCTTGCCAGAATGCATCAGTGACAGGGGCCGTCCTTCTCGGGCCCATCTCTTGTACCTTCCCTTCTGCCTCCTCCTCCTCTTCCCCTTTTAATGATTTCCGTCACTGCACAGACTCACCTGGAAAATGACTTTTGCCATGTCAGGTAACAAACAGGTTTGAGGGTTGGGACTAGTATTCTGCCCACCTCACTTGATAACTAGAGCTTTATAAGGGCCCATGGTGGCACTGTAACACCCTAGGTAGCTGGTCATAGGGCTCAGCTAATGGTTTGGTTTATTAGCCTGCCTGTCCACAGCAGCCTGGCAGGTAGGATTTCTGGAGGTCCAAATCCATTGGTACACAAGTGGGACAGCTTTAGAATGTCCCACATTGTAGGAATGAAAATGGTTTTCACTCCTGAATGGATTTTTGTACACCCATGTCCAGAACAAGTCGACCTGGATAGAGGTAGATACTTCTCTTTTCCCTTCCCAGCTATTAAAAAAATGCCCCGTAGGACTGGTTACTAGCATCAGTTTTTTAGAGCCTGTCTCCCTGCAAATAAAGATCTCCCCAAGGCCCAGCATCTTCCAGCACATTAAGAAGCAGACATCTGGGAGTAATGGATAGAAACCTTGACTAGGAATTCTGAATGGTGGGTTCGCATTTACCCTCCTTGGGATGGGAGAAGGGCACATATAACCACTCCGTTCTCATCTATCTGATCTTTTTTTTTTGGTACCAGGGATCGAACTTGGACCTTGTGGTCGAAAGGCAGGAGCCGGAACCGATGAGCTAAATCCCCGGCCCCTCCATTCTCATCTGTTTCCCTGGGAAATGTCACTGTGTAAATGTCTCACAGGTCCCTTCACAAAACCCATCTGACAATGTCCTATCTTGAAGGTTTCTGCCTGAGTTATGACTTGCCCCATCACAATATATATATGTTATCTAGGTACCTTGAGATACCTCACACATGGTATTCTAGATGAGAGAGCCGAATTCTCAGTAAACTGACCCTCAGGTACTGGAAGTGCCATCTATGGGTGCCTGTCCCACAGCAAGGCCACAAAGCAGATTTTCTTTGTTCCTAGGATCCGCACCTACATCTGTCTGTAGTGCCCTGAGCATTTGCCACCTCAGGATGGCCCTGTCAGAATGGAAATAAGTAGTCTTTCTGAAGGTTACTTTGGCAGAGTACTGTAAGAAATTGGCCATACGAATGTGACCAGGCTGCCTCCATTCTGGCAAGAAGGGTTAACAAGTAGGTGTATGGCAACTTTGTAGTGGCAGAGAAGCCAGAAACTTCAGCAGCCACTGCAGCGTGCATGCCCGTAAATCCGCCACCACTGATCTAGTGTTACCCAAACAGTGAAATTATGGGTCGTTTTCTACTCATTTATATTTTTAATGCAAAATTTTAATGCACACACCTCCCCACACCTCGCTGTACCTGTCGGCCATGAGGAGATAGGAAAAGAACCCAGCCTCAGTGAGATTTCTTTTCCTTTCCATCTGTTGCCCATTTCATGTGACCCTCCAATTCATCTTCCGAACAGACCGATCAGCTTGTGAAACAGTGCTAAGTAGACAGGACAGTGAGAACAGGCACTCTGGGTCCTTTGGTTTGTGAGCTTTTTACTTCTGTACAAGATTGCCCTGTGACTCCTCAATGGGATCTGTTTTGTTTCTGTTGTAGCAAAATCTGTTAAGGTGAAAATCAAACTCAATAAAAAAGATGAGAAAGGCCGGGACAAAGGGAAAGGCAAGAAAAGGCCAAATCGAGGAAAAGCAAAGCCTGTAGTGAGTGATTTTGACAGCGACGAAGAACAGGATGAAAACGTAAGTGTTGGTCTTGGCAGAGGAGTCCCCCCGACATCTCTGTCCCCACCTGGACTGAAAATGGAATGAATGTGTTGAGTTTTTAATGCTAAGAGTGTGAACAGAGCTGTATGGTTTAGGACAGTGGTGGAAAACCTGTTACATTTGTATCACTGAAAGCTCTAAAGGGTTTGCCATCACTGGTTTAGAAGAAAGAATATGAAACTTTGTGTGCTGCTTTTTTAATACTTTTTTTTTTTGTACCAGGGATCGAATTTGCCAGGCAGGCACCATACCACTGAGTTACATCTCCAACCCTTTTTTAATAGTTTTTAAAAATGAAAAGCTACTAAATTTCTTTTCTCTTCTTTTCATGCATTTACTTGCAAATATAGTTTTCTTCATGGCCAGTTAGTATTTCATACCCATCACACCCAGCATAGTACCCTAGAACCTAGTAGATTAGATTAGTAGAGCAGCTTAGGAGAAAGAATGAACAAAAATGTTGCGGTGTTACAGTCTGGGGCCTGTGTTCCTAAAGTACCTTCCACTTCATTCACTTTCTATGAAAGCTTAGGTTCCGCACCACCCACCCTCCACACGCTTTTCTTTCTGGACAGATCACTGTCCATTTTAGTATGTATGCCAATTTGCTCTCCTTTTAACACATTGTCACTCTGGTCTGATTGGAAAATTTCAGAATTATTTTTGCACTCCAGCCTTAACCCTTGACATAAGTGTTTACAACAAGTATATTTAAAATACTGTTTTCCTTAACTTACAGCAAGCAGGTATCAAATATATACCTGAAAATAAAAATTATTAGCCATAAATTTCTGAAGCCAAGGTGAAAGACAGCACACAACAAGCACAGCTGGTGGGGGTTGTGGGAGACTGTAATATTGATTATGTCCAAAGCAGGCTGTAAGCAGCACAGGCTGTATAAAGTTAACCCCACAATTGGCTTGTTTATAGAAGTGAGTCGGGCCAAAGCCTGCATCCCAAGGTCAGAGTAGCTTGCACCCAAAATCCGTTCCCACAACTAAAACTTTCTAACTATGACAGTGTTTTAATTACAACCATATATTTTGTCTATTCTGTTCCTAATTTAAGAATCCTTTGTCTTGTCCTTTATGAGTCTTGCTTATATTAGTTTCCATAGAAACTGCAAGACTGTACTTCTCACATATTCCTGCCCTTGTATGTAGCTTACCTTTACCCTAATTGATTACTAATAAAAATCAGTGGCTTCAGCTGGCCAGTGCCTTCGTTGGTTGCACTGGCACTGGTTGTCCTGGTTCCCTGCTTTCTCTCTCAGTTCTGTCTTTTGGGTTGTTTTTTTTTTCTCAGGCCTGTGTTATATACTGGGCAGGAAACTGGAACCTAACTGTAGGGTTCTCTGATAAAGTGTTGCTTGGGACTTTCCTATTAGGAATGCCACTTCTCAACTCAGAGCTTGGCCACACCTCTAAGTGTCTTTCTGTCTTCCCACAGAGATTGAGTGTTCTGAATCCCAAAATGTCATTTCTTTATCATTTTGCCTCATGAGAGTTTATTTTTCCTTTTTTTTGGGGGGGTGGGACATGTGACTATGCTTCATGTTACCTTTTACTTTCAGGAACAGTCAGAAGCAAGTGGGACCGATGATGAGTGATCCTTGTGGACATTTTATCCATGGTAGATCTGAATAGTTTCCTCCCCTCTCTCATTTTGACCCAGTGAATTCACCTGTCATTTGGGCACTGGGTTCTTTCTGTGTGCTCATCATCATCTTATAAACTAGCTTTAGAATAGTGCCAGACAAACATATGATATCATGGTGTAAAAAACACACGCAAATATTTGTAACATATTGTGACCAAATGGGCCTCAAAGATTCAAAGATTAAAACAAAAGCTTTTGATGGAAAATGAGGGTGGATAGTATATTTCTATGGGTGGGTCTAATTTGGTAATGGTTTGTGCCTGGTTTTATCACCTGTTCAGATGAGATTTTTGTCTTTTGTAGCACTGGTAACCAGGAGAAGCCATTAAAAGCCACTGGTTATTTTATTTTTCATCAGGCAATTTTCAAGATTTTTATTTGTTCGGTATTGTTTTTTTTACACTGTGGTACATATAAGCAACTTTAATAGGTGATAAATGTACAGTAGTTAGATTTCACCTACATATACATTTTTCCACTTTATGCTCTATGATCTGAAAAATGCTTTTTGAATTGTATAAGATTTATGTCTACTGTAAACATTGCTTAATTTTTTTGATCTTGATTTTTAAAAGTTTTGTTGAATTTGCTATTGGATATTGCAGTCTATATAGTGTACTGGATGGCTTCTTTTGTCCACCTGATTTCCTATGGTACCAATGTGTATTGTCTCCTTCTCCCTAAAGTGTACTTAATCTTTGCTTTCTTTGCACAATGTCTTTGGTTGCAAGTCATAAGCCTGAGGCAAATAAAATTCCAGTAATTTCGAAGAATGTGGTGTTGGTGCTTTCCTAATAAACATAATTTCGCTCCACTAATGTTGCCTCTTGGTTTTCAGTCCTAGGAGATTAAAACTTTGTGCCTCCTTCAGAGAGCTGGGAAGGTTCTAGCTGCAGAACATTTGGAACAGATTGAGAGAGCCAGTCTCCTAGAATGATCTAGGTGTGTTACAAGAAAAGAGATTATTACTTTCCTGACTGTAAACTATAAAATAACAGAAGAGATGCTGCCAGGGCCCAAGCAATACTAAATCCCTTTTCAGTGTTGTCCCATGGCTTAAATTCTGTTTATTAGCCAGAAAACCTATAAAGCTATTTTATTTTCCCCACCTCCTTTTTAGTAAGCCATTGGAAAATAAATTGCGGTCATCACAACTCTGCACCCCTAATACTTTAGCACAAATAGGGAGAGGAAAGGGATTTTAAAAAGATGTGTTATGTACATGTACCATTATTTACTGCAAATATACTAATAAAAATTAAAAGTAGAGAATAGACCAATCACAAGTTCCACAACTATACCAAAAATAATTAGTTCCCTAATATCTAATATGCAAACCCAGGCATATTTCTCAGTTGTCCCCAAACTGTCTTATATTTGTAATTACGATCTTGTCAAGATACATACTTTGCATATGATTGTCATGCTTGTCTCAGTATCTTTTTTTTTTTTGGGTACCGGGACTCGAACTCAGGACCTTGTGCTTGCGGAGCAGGCAGCAAGCCACTGAGCTAAATTCACAGCCCTCTCAGTATCTTTTTTAAAGTTCTTAAAAAACTAGCCTAAAGATTGGTGCATCCTTTCCTAAGAAACATGATGATAGGATCAAAACATGAATTTTGTTTCTTTACTAACCCTTCTTAGAGTCGTCAGATCTCTGAAATACTTGTGATTATAAAAGATGGAATTGCCAACATTACATGTTACTTTGAATTTTAAAGAAAATTGGACCCATACAGAGAAGGCAGTTCTCCTAAGAAACTTCTTTCTCTCCCTAAATGTCAACTCTTCTTCCAAATTTCCAGTTCTGAGCATTACAGTGTTGAGTTTTCCTCCTTAATTTGTTTGTAAGATTTACTGACTGCAATGAAAGAATAGCTGTATTAGGTTTTCTTGCTGAGATAACTTAGTACTATTCAAAGAAAATTGTTTTTCTCTTGCTTCCATTTCTCTATTTTCCTATTTTGTGTGTTTTTGTAATCCCTTCTTGGCTTCAGAGGCATTGCTATTCTAAAACCATCAAACCCATTGTCTTCACGGTTCAAGATTTCTGTTGTGTGAAAATGTTCTGCAATCCTGCTGTGACTGACTTTGCTTTGTTGTCCTCCTTGACTGGTGGAAATGAGCATCATCCCTCAGCACATGAATCATCCCTTTGTCTAGTGGATCCATGCTGTAGACACTACCCACCCATTAGTCACTTAGCAAGTTCTCAGATATCAGATCAACTGTCACAGTATTGTAATGCTTCTGCTCAAATAAGATCAATAGTAGCCTAACTGTGCATCCTAGTGTCTACATCATTCCTCTCCCTTAACTCATCAGGCATTGTATCATCCCATATCATCACAAGATAAGAATGTACAGGAAGCATACCCCATTGGTACCTGAGGAAATCATGGGGGCTAAAAACTTCCTCTAAGTAAACACATGGTGCTGTCATTGAGTGGGGCGGATGTGAAGTTGGTTCTGTGTGTACTCGTAGCTGCCCCCTAATGTATGGGGTGGGTCAAAGGAGGAATGATACCCGGCCCCAGTTGTCACCGGGGTGCAGAGGCAACAGAGTGATTTGTGGGCTATCCTGAGCATGCACATCACCCTGCTTAATGTGTCCCGGCAGTTAGCTTGTTCAGCCTGTTGTTGAGCCCATCAGAAAGCCTAGTTATCTCCAGGAACTGTGGTTTACAAGGAACAGAAGGAGGAATCTATGGGTATCAGGCTAGATACTAGGCCCTTTACATACATATAATATTCAGTTCCAAAATCCATGTAAAGATGACACAGTTCATTCCATTTTGTAAATAAGGACAATACAATCGAGACTGAATTGCTGTAGGCTGTGCACCAAAGCTAGATTTAAAAGGTCAATGTGTTTGACTCCAAAGCCACATTCCTTATAGCTGCTTCTCACCTCCCCAGGCTTTGGGCCTGGAATTGGTCTTGATGAGTCTTGGACACCTGTAGACCTAGCACGCACTGACACAACTGGGCTTGCTATAAAACAAAGTCATGGTCCAGTCTCCTGTTTCCTGTGGTTGAGAATGGAATTTACTGCCGAGACCCAACTTGCTTATTTGTGTCTTGCTGCCCTGGCTATTTCTCCACAGGCTGTTCCACAAGGGATGAGGCTTCATTCCTTAAGCCCAAGCTACAGCCAGATCCTAAAGGTCGCTGCACCTAGCTAAGATGGATGTCACTTCTGCCTCGATCCACCTATCAGGTGTGAGTCAACCATGAATATAGAGACTAAGTTCACATTTGCCCCACTGCTGTCAGCACGAAGGGTTTATTGAGACAAGGACTGTAGGCCCTGTGATATCTATAGGCACTTGACAGGGTACACTTAGAATGCAATCACAGTAGTCCTCCCTTAATATGCTATTTTAACTTTTTGTGGTTTCACTTATCCAGGGTCAAGTGTGGCCTAAAAATATTAAAGGGAAAATTCCAGAAGGGACTCTTAAGTTTTAAATTGCATATGGTTCTGAGTAGAATGGTAGTGATAAGGTCCTGTACCATCCTACCCAGCACAAAATCATCCCTTCCCTCAGTGGTGTCATGCTACATACAGCACACTACCTCCCCATTGGTCACTGAGCTTTTTCTGTTATCAAATCCACTCTCAAAGTACTGCAGGGGTTGTGTTTAATTTAGTTCAGTAATACCTGACTTCTCATCACAATGTCTACAGCATTTCACCATGTCTTATCCTGTAGATATTACATTATCTATCAAGATTCCACATTCACATGTTATTACAGTTTGGACATTAACCAACTCAAAGAGAAAGGCTTCTTTTGACTCACAGTTTTAGAGTTTCCAGTCCATAATCATTTGGCCCCATTGCTTTGGGTCAGTAAGGGTTCATGGCCAGAGGGGTTCATGGCCAGAGAGAGTGAGGGAGAATAAGGAACCAGGGTCCCACACTTCCCTACAGGGGCATACTCCCGTTGATCGGAGTATCTCCCACTAGGTCCTAGTTCCTAAAGACTCAGCCACCACCCTACAGCACCCTCTGGGATAGAAAGCCTTCAGTACATGAACCTTTGGGGGACTTCGAATCCAAACTATTGCAAGCGTATTGTTATAATTATTTTATTATTGTTGTTGATCTATTACTGGGCCTATGAGATCAGGCGTGTTCAGGGTGGTATGACCATAGACAACTATTTCATGATTGTGCTTCCATATATATATGTATATATATATATATATATATGTATATATATATATATATATATATATATGACTAGGTACAATGCACACTTTCATGCAACCACTGGAGGTCTTAGAGTATATCCCTGTGGGAATGGGAGTAATATGAGAAAATGGAAAAACAGAAACAAAATCTTTGTAAATAGGGAGGAATGGAGGGGTTGAAGGGAGGGCTGGGCAAGGGTGAAAAATAAGAACCAAGAGAGACTATGTAAAGGTGCAAATTTCCAATGATGAATGTCATTATATTGTATACCTAAAATGTACCAATGATTAGAATGAATAATCGATAATCCAAAATAGGAAGAAAAGGTCCAAAGGGGTAGGGGTAGTGGGAGGGGCAGGGGAAAGGAAAGAAGGGAAAGGAAAAATGATGAGCAATGGAAAAAATGGAAATAAAGTCTTTGTAAATAGGGAAGGGTGGAGGGCGTGAAGGGAGGGCTAGGAATGGGAAAAAATAAGAACCAAGATGCATTATGTAAAGGTACAATTCCCAATGAGAAACGTAATTGTGTTGTATACCTACAATGTACCAATAAAAGAATTTAATACAAAAAAAATAAAAATGAAGTATATCCCTGTGGAAGCTACTCGTAGCTCCAAGCCACACCCTCACTTCCACATCAAGGCAGGCTGGCATTCCCGTGCACTTCCCATGTGGAAATTCGAAAGCCCCCACTCAGCCCACCTTTAGAATAGACCCTGACTGCCCCGCCCTAGCCTGGCCTCGGGGCCACACCAGTCTCTCAGCTCTAGTTTCAGGCTCTTCCGTGTACCTGCTTGGCAACACATCATGTCTAGCTCTGCCTGAGGTAAAGCTTGTGCTCAGAAACAAGCTACATGGTCCTAAATGAGATGATGTTGACAGGTCTGGCCTTCAGAATGGGATATTCTAAATATGTACCTCTTGATTTCTAATTAAGATAAGATTGTATAGCCAGCAAGTACTAGAGCCAGATACAGTCATGTATCTCCTAATAGGACATCTTCTGAGAAATATGTTGTTGGGCAATTTCATAGATGATTACATGAATTATGATTACATGAATTTTTATTTTCCTGTACTGGGGAATGAACCCAGGGCCTTCACAGCAAGCTACATACCCAGACCTCTTTTTTTTTTTTTTGAGATGGGTTAGTTTAGCCACTAAGTTGCCCAGGCTGAGCTTGAACTTGGGATCTTTCAGTTGTTGCAATATAAATTAAGGTACTACTACTATATATATGTAGTCTGAACACCATTATAGGGTACATGACTGTACATTGCAGAGGGAAGTTAAGGTGTTTAAAGACCTTTCTTTTCTCAAGCTGTTTATTTATCTTTAAAGTATAATTTTTCAGTTGAGAGCCTGAGTCATGCCCCTGACCTAGAAATCAAATATGTGGGTTATTCTAGACTTTGGCATGGACTTAAGAGTTTCAGTTTCTTCTACAAAAAGTGGAGAGTAAGTTGTTCTATAATTCTAAGCCTCATAGTTGATATATACTTTTATATTGCCAAAGATTCTTATTGTATTAGAAACAAAATGAGTTATGAGAAACCCAAATTATAAATAAAGAAAAATAAAAGGTAGGTAATAGGAAGGAGGGAGATAGATC